CCCCCTCTACCATCACCACCGCCCCTAACACCCCGCAGCCCCCCCTATCACTTCCCACCTTCTACCCCTACCCCCTTACCACCCCTTCTACCCATTCCACCCCCTACCCCCCCGCAGCCCCTTCTATCACTTCCACCTAGACTGGCCGGCGGGACCATGAATTTCACATTTGGTCCCATTTGGTCTGGTCTCATACATTTCTTGGCGTGAGTCCCACCAGGACCAAGCCTTAAAAAAATCTGAAAATGGACCATTTCTGAGAGAAATGATGTGAAAAATGATCAGATTTAATTCAAGAATAGTGAAATGAGAGTAATTTCTCAGAATAAACTGTGAAAGATAATCATTCTTTTAAAATCAGAATAAGACTGAGATTGAGAGTTAAAATCAGTCTCATTCAGTTTATTCAGTAATTACTTGTATAATCAGAATTTAATAGTAATTATTAATAATTCTTATGAAATAACTAAATACATTTTTGTATAAGTTTATTCTTTATTTTCTTATAAAAACTACACTTCTCTGATATACTATGATTAGAGATATTAAACTATCTAATAATTTCATATTTTATAATTATAAGTTTCTTAATTATTTCTTCTTATAATTGTCTCTGATAATAGTGATAAATATCTCAGCTTAAGTTGAATTTTCACTTTATTTTTATCTCTATTAATGAAATTATTATAATATTATATATTATTAATATAATAGTTAAATATATACTCTTAATAATTTTTCATAACTCTAGAATTAATTTAATATATAAATTCATTAAATTATCTTAAAGATAGTAGTTAAATTCAGTTTTATAAGTATATAGTTTTATCTGATTTTTAATTATAATTAATATATATAAGTTCTATTTTAAAGTTAATATTATAGTTCTATATAATATAAAGTATTATTAAAAATTATTACTTATTAAAGAATTATATTTCACTATCTTTATATTTTAAATATCTGCTTATTCAAATCTCTGATAGTTAATATTATAATAGTCTTAAATTAATTTAATATATAAGTCTTATTTCTTCTCTATTCAATCTTGAGAAGTATAGATATTAACTTAATAGAAGAGATCTAGTAGAGCTACTATAGTATAGTACTTTATAAAAGATTATTCAGTTTTACTATAATAATATATCAGTTTATTACTGTACTATAATATTATCTCAGACTGAATTTCTTTTTAAGTGATTCAACTACTTTTTAAAATAAGTAAATAAAGTGTTATATACTTATCAGACTGACTGTAGTATTAATATATAAATAATTAAACTATCTTTATTATTTTATAAAACTGAAACAGTAAATTAATTATATATTTTAACTAAGTTTACTTTATATCAGAAAGTTTTAATATCTGAATCTTTTTCTAATCAGAGTATTATACTTAATAATTAATTATTTAATATAATTAAAGAGTCTGAATAGTTATTTTATATATTAAACTTTACTATATTCTAATATTCTGTATTATATTCAGTAATGTGACTGATTTATTTATTTATTAAATATCATGAAATCATTGTTATTATTTAGAGAAGATATAAATTATATTAATAATATTTCAAATTTATAATATTTAAATTATTAGTCAATCTATTCAAAATTAATAGTAGTATTATTAAAAAGTATTATTAAAAAATATTATCTGTGACAGGCTGTGTCTGATTAATTATATAGACTATTTCATTACACTTTATAGATTCTTTCATTCTCAATTACTAATTCTCAGCCGCTACTAACGCGCGTAATATACACTTCAATTCTCAGTCATTTCTAATCACTGATTCTCAGTTACTACAAATGTGTGTATATTCTTCCGCTCTGAAGCTTCACTGTGTACATCATCACATACATATATAAATATTCATCTCAATCACTGATTCTTGCACTTTCTCTTTCTTTCCTTCTTTAATGTTTTTATCTTTATTATATAAGACCAATCAATATTATACTGATCTATTCAGTGTAGGTCTCTTACACTATAAAAACATTCATCATCTTCTTATTAGAAATGATTATTTATTGAGAGATATTCAAATATGTAACAATATGTAAGAAATAGAGAAACAGTCAAACAGTTAAATGAACACTTAGTTTCTAGATAGAAGCTTACTTATCAGTTATTCTGACCCTGTAACAAGATCTTACAAAGAGAATAAGATCTTATAAGAGAAAATCAGTGAAAGATCTGAGAGTTCTGACACTTAGATGTATGAGAATATAATTACACTTCTTCAGATATTATATATCTGATAAAATAATATAATCATGTCTAATGATAATATAAGAGAACTCTTGAGTGTGAGTATAGAGATGATATCACAGTGACTCTGAGCAATGTTGAAATTATAACAACAATAAATAGCTGATATGCATGCAACACAACAACTTTAATATAAAGAGATTCAATAATTAACTCATGTGATTTTAATATCTACAGAATTGAATACAAAAGTGCTGAAAGAATACTTAGATGCTTCTGCATATTTCAACACTTCTGATCTCACTCTCTACTCATCATGAAGAATGAAAATGCTCATGAAACTGAGTGTAGTTGAAGATTTCATCAGTTCATTAATTAATCAAGATTGATATATCAATGAATGATTGAAGAATTGTATAAAACAGAAGTTTCATTCATGAATGAAAGCATGTGAATCAGTATTATAAATATCTGATAATATTATGAAATATCTTGATATTCTGTTCTGAGACACTGCCATGCAACAGAAAGTATTAGATTGATTACAGAGTACTTAACAGAGAAACACTTCTCTTACAACATTCATCTCTAATTTCAATATCAAGATTCTAGAAGCAGATGATCAATCTTGAGAGAATCAAATAAAGATTAGCATGCTCAAGAAGACATTGACTTTTAAACTCTTATAGATTCTTATAAGTATAGATAAAGACCAGACTTATAAAGGCTTCTGCACACAGCTTCAGACATTGAATGATCATCTTATCAAGCTTAAGAGTATACAGAACAGTGACAGAAGATGTTACATCTCAGTCACTCATACATCTGCACTGAAGAACAATGATACAAAGGTCATGAACTGAATAGATTCAAATATCTATGCATAAGCAAGAGTTTCCACCATTCAAACAGACTTTCAAGTTTCTGAGATCACTCTCAAAGAAGTCACTGATCAATGTCAATATAAAGTATGTATCAACTGTAATCAATCAGAACACATTGCTTTCAACTGCTGATCAATCTATGTGTCTTCATACTTAAGAGAAAGATCAGTGTCTTCTCATTCAAAGAATGAATCAGCGCCTGTTCACATCAACCACATTATATTAGAGAAAGATTCAGAAGATAACTATAAGAATGCCTCAGTGAAACAGAGAAAAGATTAGCTTCTATTCAAATTTGCAAACAGAAGCTTGAAGAGATCAGATGACAATAATTTGAAGAGAAGATGATAATAAATGCAATTCTTATATCTACTGTGATTGATAACATGTATAATATGAAAGTCATGATAGATAGTGATCTATGTCACTATACAATGATAAAATCTTCAGTTATAAGATATCATAATCTTCAGTGTATCTCTTTATTAAAACTCTGACTTCTTACAGAATTTAATGATCTGAAAGATGTTTGTACTCATTATATAATGAAATTAAACATAGATATGAAAGAATATCAACATGAAGATGCCTATGCATATAAAGTTAATAGACTGACCGTGTGACCGTGTCTGAGATCAGAACCAGATTTTTTGATAGTCTCATTATCAATTTGACTGATCTCATTACACAGTTTTAACATTAGATAGTAGTTTCATACTGTCTCAGTGAGACTTACTGTCTACTCTTATTACATTTTTCAAATGAGATCATGATTTTCACTTCTCAATTTAAATTATTTTTATTACTTTAAATGACTTTAAATCTCATTTGAGTGTTACTAAAAAGTGTTACTTTTTAAAAAATTAAAAATAGTCTACTGAGATCCCTCAAAATGTCTAAAAATAGTAACTTTATGTCAAAAATGAGCCTAAATAAGATCAAATGAGATCACTTTCTCATTTTTTTCAAGTCATGGTTTCATTTTAAGATCTGATATATAGTCACTTTACATGTTTTTTTGATAGTCAGTCCCAGCAGGATTCACGCCAAGAAATG